ATGCACATCATATTTTATACCCCTATCTCTATCACGAATGATATTCTTCATAATAGTTTTTCCTCTTTTTATTTCTTTTTCCACTCCCTTACTGGATTTTCCTCCATCATTGTCTCCATCATTAATAGAATCATCGTGAGGGTGCTCCTCGTTACTAGCCATCTAACCTGTAATAAAGAAAAACATTAGTATCTAATGGCAAATATTTAATTCCAAATATATAATTCCAAATATCTATTCAGTATATAAAATGACAAATATCAATTGAGTATATAAAATGACAAATATCAATTGAGTATATAAAATGACAAATATCAATTGAGTATATAAAATGACAAATATATAATTTATTAGAAGTTTTCTAAGTGTTAACAGGTATGGAGGAATATATATTACCTCTTTCACTAACATCTCTTTCTTTTCTTGGTTGGATTCCGAATTACTTGTCTCTTAAGAACGCGGACGGAGGGATTGATCCAAATTCCCTCATCATGATCTTTTCTGATATATCATTCATCCGCTGTAGTATCATCATCTCGATCGTTTCTAATATTCGACTCATTCTCAACATCAACATCAACTTGATCCACACTTTTATCATCAATCACTTTGTTAGATAAAAGCACTATAGACCATTTCGTACTCTTCGGGTCTGTGACATAAAACACTTGTTTAGCTTGAGAGGCTAGAATAAAAGGCTCATCTTTGTACCCCACCCTACTAAGATCCACTTGCAAAAACCCTGACTTATCCATTCGTATGCCACTAGTATGTACCCACTTGCAACCAAAGATAGGAATCTGAAACTTCTCATGATCAAACACCCAGATGTGATTGATAACCCCGAAATATGACAAATTTTCATATTTGGGGTTTAAGTCCTTCATACCAGAAATATGCATTGCTTCACATACCACCGTGACAACACTATTTTGCATGGTACTTTTCTCATCTTGTTCTTTGGTATAAAATGTGTATCCATTAATTTCATATCCTCTATAAGAGAACACAATCGAACTTGGACCATATGCCAAACATCTCAACCTGTCTGATATTGAAGCGGGATCTGAATGAAACTTTGAATATATATGATCCTTAAACCACTGTATAAAACTTTGATTGTGCTCTCGTACTATCCAATTTTCATTTCTAATTTGATTCTCACCTCAGAGTATAGCCTTGTGCATTTCAACAAACGGCTCAACCTCTGTGTCATTGTGCAGAACATACAAATGCACTTGATCTCGTTCATCCCTTGATATTGTCACAATTTCATTTCCAATTAATTTGTTACCTTCTTTATTTTCGAAAAAATGATATTTGGGGAGTCCAATGGATTGCACATTGGACAAAAAATCAGTACAAAACTCAACCGCTTCTTCAACAACGTATCGCCCAATGATACAACCCTCTGGACGACTTCGGTTTTTCACGTACCCTTTTAATATTTTCATATAACGTTCAACAGGGTACATCCATCTCATATAAGCTGGTCCATATAATTGTGTCTCTTTCACAAGATTAACAACAAGATGTACCATAATGTCAAAAAATGATGGAGGAAAATACATTTCAAGGTCACACAGAGTAATAATGATTTCTTTTTGTAATACTGGTAAGATCTCAGGATCAATCACCTTACTACAAATTGACCTGAAAAAAAAACACAATTTAGTTATAACGCTTCTTACTTTTTCTGGCAAAATAGAACGTATACCTATTGGTAGAAAATGTTCCATTATGACATGGAAATCATGTGTCTTCAGACTATTTAACTTGAGGTCTTTCATGGACACGAGTCTTCTAATGTCTAAGGAGTAACCTTCTGGACCTTTAACTTCACTCAGAAACTTACACAATATTTTCTTTTCCTTTCTAGATAGAGTATAAGAAGCAGGTGGGAGATATGTTCGTCTTCCTTTCTTCACGGGTCCTAATTCAGTTCTTATTCCCATCTCTACCATGTCCTCTCTTGCTTTAAGGCCATCCTTAGACTTTCCTTTTATATTGAGTAACGTACCAATAACACTTTCAAATACATTTTTTCAATATGCATAACATCAAGAAAATGTCTTACGTACAAAGATTTCCAATATGGCAATTCAAAAAAAATTGACCTCTTCTTCCACCCACCTGTGACAACTTTATATGCAAAAGGCTTGCCAAACTGAATACTCACATCTTTCACCTTTTCACAAATTTGATCACCTGTCAATCCAGGTGGAGCTTTACGTTGTTCGGTATTTCCATTGAACGCTTTTCTCCATCCACGATATTGATGTTTTTAATTTAAGAATCTATGATGACCGAGAAATACATTCTTTTGACAAAGTTTCAATCGTGTCGTATCGGTTCCATCTTCACAGACAGGACACGCTTTTTCACCTTTAATGCTATACCCGAATAGATTTCCATATGCTGGAAAATCGTTAATTGTGCCAAATAACATCGCCCTCAAATTGAAACTTTCTTTCCTATATCCATCATAAACCTCCACACCGTTCTCCCACAAAATCTTCAAATCTTCGATTAAAGGTTTCGAGTATACATCTATGTCATTCTCTGGTTGTTTAGGCCCAGAAATTAACATAGATAACATCATGTACTTGCGCTTCATACATAGCCATGGAGGTAGGTTATAAATCATAAGAATCACAAGCCATGTGGAATGTGAGATACTTTGAAGACCATGTGGGTTCATTCCATCCGTAGATAATGCCAAGCAAAGGTTTCTCGTTTCTCCTCCAAAATCAGGATAATCATTATCAATTTTCTTCCACTGTGGTGCATCTGCCGGATGTTGAAACTTTCCATCGATAATTCTTTCATCTGCATGCCAAGTCAAGTGTCTAGCATCGGTTTCACTATGAAACATGCGTCTAAATCTCGGAATAATAGGAAAATACCATAAGACTTTCACTGGAGATAATTTTTTCTTATATCGAGATAAACCGCACTTTGGGCACTCATTCAACGATGCATATTCGTTTCGAAACAAAATACAATCATTTAGACATGCATGTATCTTATCATAGCTCATGCCAATAGAGCACAACATTTTTTTGGCCTCGTAGGTTCGATTAGGAAGAACATTATCCTCAGGAAGCATATCTCTCAAAAGGGCTAATAACTGTGTGAAACTTTTATCTGACCATCCATTGCGCGCCTTTAAGTTGTACAATTTTAATACCGCAGACAATCTTGTGAATTTGGGGCAATCTTTATACAACGGTTTCTCCGCATCGCTTACCAACCTCTCAAACATTTTAGGACAATCTTGAAGATCTTCTTCAAGTGCTTCTGCAATCTCTTCCACCCGATCACAATCATATGTATCCGTGGCATTGTCGTACGAAACATAGGTCGCATTACTTTTCACCCCCGGTTCAACATTCTCGATGCTTTTCTCACCATGAAATATCCAACACGTATAACTTCGATCAATTCCGCGCATTAGTAAATGCGATTTCAATCCATCTGCGTCAACCCGACCCACATAACAACAACCCAAGCAAGGACATTTCATTCTATTCGGGTCTTCAGCATGTTCCACAACAAACTTAACGAACTCTAATACCCCATCCTCGTACTCTTTTGATAATCGATCGGCACACATCCATTTTTTATCCATGGTTTTAACTATTATCTAAGTTAAAGACTCTGTGTTGTCAACAAAAATCAAACATGTGATTAGAACAATTCTAGAAATGAGGATTGTTGTGGTCCTATAACATATTCAATCAATGATCGTCAACGTTACAATTTTAGAGACATTAGCTTAGTTGTGAACTCATTCTATCATTCATGATTTGTGTTATTTTTTACTATTACTAAGTTGAATATTAGATGGGGGATTTACATGGTGTGATTCCTTTGTTCCTTGCAGGCATGTCTACATGAGCTAAGCATACATTATGAGAAACAGAAAAGAAACAATGTATGGAAATTAAGTGTCATGTTGAATGGTATTTTGACTAGTCCATAATATATCTTAGATTTAAAAAAAATCAAAATAAAAGTTTCAAAAGAGAGAATAGAAACCATAATACCTAAGGTTCCTCGGCTTTTACTCGTGGAGATTGTTAATTTTCTATTTCGCTGTAAGAAGAAAAACAATAAGAAGATAAAGATTCCAGCAAGAGCAGAAGAAGCAATCAATGCTAGTAGAATTCTCTTATTCAAATTCTGGTGATGCACTATTCTAACATCTTGATTTCCTGTATCATTCATTGTAAAAACAATACATCAAACTCATTAGTCTCGTTAAACCAACTCAGTTAATTGCTGTGCAGAAATATAAGATATATTAAAATTGACATATGGGTTTGCATGATGCATATTTTCCAGTTTTGTATGATGCATTTTTTTTCTTTGATTTTTACTGCATATCATCTGTTCTTGGGGTTAAACAGAATTATCTGTGAAACTATGCATAGGAAAAGGGGGTCAAACTAAAAACTTATTATCATACTTGTACTACAAATGTACAAATAGTAGTTTTAATCTTCAAACATGATTTTCACTCAAACTTATTGTTCAACTCACCTATCATACGTGCACATATCCATACATTAATCAATTTATCTTAAATTCACATTTATGATTTAACTAAAATCAATCTCCACCCCCACTAGAAACTAACACACATTGGTATATCTAGTAGCACCACATAACAAATAGTAGCATGTTGTGCCCATAAATCAAACCAAATTACTTCTGTTCTAGTTAGCTCTAGTTAAAATAATATTAATTTCCGTATAATGCTGATAATAAATGTGTTTTCTTATTATTGTAAGAAGACATAATAACTTATTATATCATGTATCTCTTATCTTATCATAAAATAACCCCTAAGCTTTTTGTTCATATAAGCACGAGTATATAAAGGAGCTAATGTTTACAAAAATATTTGCAGGCAATAAGTAATAATGTTTACAAAAGCATTAAGCACAGAGTATATACTACCAAAACGTCTTGCCCTTTAGGACTCAAAACTACTCATGGCTTGCTTCAAACTTAATATCCTAATTCTTGCATCTCTCTGTTCTTTCCTTTTCCTTTCCAACCCAGCGCACTGTAGTGATACTTTTCTTCTCTCGCGTCTTTAAATTTTTGTTTCTCTTTTGGTTACTTTTTCATAAAATTTAAAGTGTTTCACTAACTTTGATTGAAGCATGCATCTTATTTATGTTTCTGTATTAAACTTTGATTGAAGGAAATGAATTTAAATTTTTTGAAGTTTGCTTAATGATAATGATTAACACTTGATTGGTTGGGTTAGACAAAGTGGACATTGTACTGAAGGGAATCAACAGCTACAGAGAGACAAATAATGTTGCACCACTGAACAAAAATGACAAGGCAAGTTGTTTAGCTAATGAAGTTGCTGAAGAAATACAAGACACACCATGTGAAAAAGTGAATCAATACTACCCAACTTCTGGTCCTGGTGGAAACCAAATAATTCATAATTTGCAAAGACATATAGATAAATGTGATATTAACATGAACACTACAACAGATGGAGTCATTCTACCTGTTTGTGTGCCTAAATTGGAACCAACTGTTGTGTTATATAATTACACTCATAATGATATCTATGCAAAGTTTCTCAACAATTCAAAGTACACTGGAGTTGGACTTAATTCTGAGGATGATTGGATGGTTCTTGTTCTTACTACTACTACACCTACTGGAACTTTCTCTGCAGCAACTTCTCTTCATGCTAATCTTGTTTCGATGGCTTTCTTGTTTGTGGTGATTCTCATCATCAACTCTAAACCTTGACTGCTTTATTTCTAGCTTTTTAATGCTTCATTATGGATAATGGATAATGTATCAAGTTTAATTACTCTTTCTTTTGCTTGTGTAAATGTAGTATCAACTTTATTGGGAATTTATTTGTGTTGTGTTTTTGGTGCTTACTCTTCTATAATCTCTCACATGGCCATCACATTATTTGCTTGCTTATTGTATGTTTAGTTCAAAAAACTGAATCATTTCGAAAACAATATCAGAAACAAACACTTCATCCTTAGAAAACAACTTTCATCACTAAGCTTATTTTCTTCTGGCCTCTTCAGGAAGGGAAAAAGATATGTCTGGAATCTAGATAGATATTTTTGGAAATTTATAAAGGAGCTAATGTTTTGGAAATTGTGCTTTTGTCTAGTTTAGTAAGGATGTATTCTCAAGCAGCATGTTGAATTCACTTTTAAGCTAGTTTAATCCTGGATGGTTGTATCGCATGACATTTAACTTATCAATTTTGCAGAACTATATCCAACAAAGAATTTCAAGCATCTGATATGCGACCTCTTAATGTATTAGAAGATAATTTAAATTATCTATTGGGCTTGCTGGATTCTAAGGAGCATCCGTTCGAAGTGGTTCATGACTTCATCTTTGATAGGACAAGGTCTATACGTCAAGATCTTACTATGCAAAGTATTATAAACAAGAGAGCTATTTTCATGTATGAGGGAATGGTATAATTTTTTGTCAAATGTCTTTGATTCATATGTTTTCTTCTTTTCATCATCTATCAATTCAACTTTTCTCTTACAACTATGTTAGGGTACATGATTGAAGTTTCACTTTTGATGCTTGATTTGCAAATACCAGTTTTGAAGTAAATTTTGAGGTTTATTTATCTGATCCGTACATTTTATTTAACACACTAGATGAATATCTATAAAGAAACTGGTCTTTCCAAATACAAGTCCTACGCTGGGCTAGGGGTATTAACACCAAGAGTATATTTTGATTCAGCTTCACAGTCAAGGGCTTAACAGAGAATAGCATAAAATGCAAAAATAACACTGTCTCAACTCAACACTTCCAATGCTAATTCCACAATCAAAATCCAAACAACTATAACCTATTCAGTATGTCCAATGAAAAATGCAATACAATAGAATAAAATCACAAGAGTGTTCTACGAAAGATAATATTTGTCATAGAGAAATGAATGATCATTTTATCACCAACACGCAAAGTCGCAACAACAGTTCAAATTCAATTGCAAAAGTTCACATAGAACAAAAGAAAAAGTGAAGTAAAATTTAACCTAAATAAAGAAACACAGAAAAGCAAAACGGTTGAGAATGAAATAAACAACAAAAAATAGAGAAAGAAAGAAAAGAGAATACCTTATCAATGAAGCGAGCGTCAAAATCAGCAGAATGAGAACCATTGAGTTTGCCTTCAAGTTTGCATTGAATCTTGAGATGTTTAGAAGCAGAGTTGGAGATGGTGGTAACGAATCCGAACGAAGCGAGTTGGAGAAGAAGATGAACCACGTCCACGGTGAGGAGGGAGGAGACGAGTTAGACGAAGATGAACAGTTGTGTGTATAAAGTGGGGTTTTGTATAAAGTGGGGTTTATGATAACCAATTTAGGGATTTAGAAATTTTTTAATTACCTTAGACAACGCTTTCAAGAAGCGCTGCTAAAGGTATTAGCAGTTCTTTAAGGCTTTAGCAGCGCTTTAGTGTAATGCCTTTAGCAGCGCTTCTTGAAAGCGTTGTCTAAGGTATACCTTTTATCACACCTTTAGCAGCGCTTTTGGTAAGCGCTGTCTAAGGTATACCCTTTAGCAGTGCTTATTCTTATTATTTATTTATTTTTATTGAAAACCTATAGCAGTGCTTAGGGAAAGGAAGCGCTGGCTATGATAAAGCCTTTAGCAGCGCTTTTAGTAAGCGCTGTCTAAGGTATACCCTTTAGCAGCGCTTATTCTTATTTTTTTACTTTTTTTTTAATTGAAAACCTATAGCAGCGCTTAGGGAAAGGAAGCGCTGTCTATGGTAAGGCCTTTAGCAGCGCTTTTAGTAAGCGCTGTCTAAGGTATACGTTTAGCAGCGCTTACTCTAATTTTTTAATTTTTTTTTTAAAACCTATAGCAGCGCTTATGGCATAAGAACTGTCTATGTGGCGCTGTCTAAATTCAATTTTGGCATAGTGATTACAATAACTTCGCTAAAGTCATGATGTTGGAATTGGAAATTTTTTTAAGTGAATTTCTCTAAAATATTGTGTTTTAAAAACCTTTGATAGAATTTTTTGTAGTTAGTTGAATTTCATTAAAAAAATCATAGTTACAATTTCGGTGAAACAAAGAATACAATACTTATTAGAATGATATGGGTATTCTTCTTCTTACAAACTTAAATTTTGGTTGCTATAATCTTGTTTATCTGTATATTTGGCCATTTTCGTGCCAACATTAAGGTTAATAACTTAATTAAATATTTAAAGTTAAGAAATATTCTTTTTTTTCATATTATTTTTGTAATGATTATGTTCATATTCACTTACTAATTTTCCTTAAAAAATATATACACACTAAATTGATACATTAAAAAAATCCTCTTAAATTAAATACGGGATAAATTTTAAAGTTCTTTCAGTTAATGTAAGGGAAACAACAACACTTTAATCTTTCTTGCTTGAGATCATAACCATCCATCAAATTTGATGTATAGTGCACTTTAGTTCATTTGACTGTAAGGTGTCGTTTATACACAAGCAACTTTTCATTTGTATGCAATATAAAGATGATAAGATAAGAGATTACATTAATCTCAACAAAATGTTGAATTTGTTGGAGCATTTGACATTACATCATATTTTGATCTTTTTTTTTGTAACTACTCATTTTTTTGTTATAATTTCTCTTGTGATTTTATACCGTTGGTCTTTGAAAGAAACATGTTAGGGCAAGTACAGTCACATTTAGAAGCTAGGTAGGGTTTTTGCCAAAATCATATTTGTAATAACTTCGCTAAAGTCATGATGTTGGAATTGGAAATTTTTTTAAGTGAATTTCTCTAATATATTGTGTTTTAAAAACCTTTGATATATTTTGTTGAAGTTATTTGAATTTCTATAAGAAATAATAGTTACAATTTCGATGAAACAAAGAACACGATACTTATTAGAATGATATGGGTATTCTTCTTCTTAAAACCTTAAATTTTTGTTGTTATGATCTTGTTTATCTATATATTTCGCCATTTTTGTGCCAACAATAAGTTCAATATCTTAATTAAATATTTATATTTAAGATATATTCTTTTTATTTCATATTTTTTTGTAATGATTATGTTCATATTCCCTATTTTTGTAATGATTATGTTCATATTCCCTTTAATTGTTACACACTCAATTGATACCTTAAAAATTCATTTAAATTAAAATACAAGAAAAATTTAAAGTTCTTTTAGTTAATATAAGGGAAACAATAACACATTAATCTTTCTTGCTTGACTTCATAACCATCCATCGAATTTAATGTATAATGCGCTTTAGTTCATTTGACTTTAAGGTGTAGTTTATACACAAGTAACTTGTCATTTGCATGCAATATAAAACAAATAAAAAAAGAGATTACATTAGTCTCAACAAATTGTTAAATTGGTTGGAGCATTTGACATTACCTCATATTTTGATCTTATTTTTTTGGTAACAACTCATTTTTTTGTTATAATTTCTCTTGCGATTTTATAACATTGGTCTTTGAAAGAAACATGTTAGGGAAAATACAGTTACATTTAGAAGCTAGGTAAGGTTTTTGCAAAAATCAAAATTGCAATAACTTCGCTAAAGTCATGATGTTGGAATTGGAAATTTTTATAAGTGAATTTCTCTAAAATATTGTGTTTTAAAAACCTTTGATAGAATTTGTTGTAGTTAGTTGAATTTCTCTAAAAAAATCATAGTTACAATTTCGATGAAACAAAGATAACGATACTTATTAGAATGATATGGGTATTCTTCTTCTTAAAACCTTAAATTTTTGTTGTTATGATCTTGTTTATCTATATATTTGGCCATTTTCGTGCCAACATTAAGGTCAATAACTTAATTAAATATTTAAAGTTAAGAAGTATTCTTTTTTTTTCATATTATTTTTGTAATGATTATGTTCATATTCAGTTACTAATTTTCCTTAAAAAATATATACACACTAAATTGATACATTAAAAAAATCCTCTTAAATAAAATACCGGATAAATTTTAAAGTTCTTTCAGTTAATGTAAGGGAAACAACAACACTTTAATCTTTCTTGCTTGAGATCATAACCATCCATCGAATTTGATGTATAATGCACTTTAGTTCATTTGACTGTAAGGTGTAGTTTATACACAAGCAACTTTTCATTTGTATGCAATATAATGCAGATAAGATAAGAGATTACATTAATCTCAACAAAATGTTGAATTTGTTGGAGCATTTGACGTTACATCATATTTTGATCTTATATTTTTGTAACTACTCATTTTTTTTGTTATAATTTCTCTTGCGATTTTATACCGTTGGTCTTTGAAAGAAACATGTTAGGGCAGGTACAGTCACATTTAGAAACTAGGTAGGGTTTTTGCCAAAATCAGATTTATAATAACTTCGCTAAAGTCATGATGTTGGAATTGGAAATTTTTTAAAGTGAATTTCTAAAAAATATTGTGTTTTAAAAACCTTTGATAGATTTTGTTGAAGTTATTTGAATTTCTATAAGAAATAAAAGTTACAATTTCGATGAAACATAGAACACGATACTTATTAGAATGATATGGGTATTCTTCTTCTTAAAACCTTAAATTTTTGTTGTTATGATCTTGTTTATCTATATATTTGGCCATTGTCGTGCCAACAATAAGTTTAATATCTTAATTAAATATTTAATTTTAAGATATATTCTTTTTATTTTATATTTTTTTGTAATGATTATGTTGATATTCCCTATTTTTGTAATGATTATATTGATATTCCCTTTAATTGATA